AGAGCTGCAGCCCGTGGGAAGGACTCACGTTGGAGAATTTTGTGGAGAACTGTCTCCCATGAGAGGGATCTCATGCTGGAGCAGGGGTAGAGGGGTGAGGAGTCCTCCCGCTGAGGAGGAAGGAGCAGCAGAGACAACGTGTGATGGACTGACCGTAACCCCCACTCGCCATCCCCCTGCGCTGCTCGGGAGGAGGAGGGAGAGAAACAGGAGTGAAGTTGAGCCTGGGAAGAGGGGAGGGGTGGGGGGAAGACGTGTTAAGATTTGTTTTTATTTCTCACTATCCTACTCTGATTTGATTGGTGATGAATTAAACTCCCTTTTCTCATGAAGTTCAGTCTGTTTTGTCTGTGACAGTAACTGGTGAGTGATCTCTCCCTGTCCTTGTCTCGACCCTGGAGCCTTTCATCACATTTCCTCTCCCCTGTCCAGCTGAGGAGGGGAAGTGATAGAGTGGTTTTGGTGGGCACCTGGCATTTATTCAGGCCAAACCAAAACATGAGGTTTGGGACAACTGTAAGGGTAGTGCCAGGGAAGCATAAAACACAGTTACCACGAACTTGCAACTTTTCAGACTTTAATGTAATGAAAGGATGTGCCTTCCTCTTAATTTCAGGGATCTAGCTTGCAGTGTTTCATAGACTCATGGAATCACAGAATGGTTTGGGTTGGAAGGGACCTTATATATCACCTAGTTCTAACGCCCCTGCCATGGGCAGGGACACCTTCCACTAGATGAGGTTGCTCAGAACCCCATCCAACCTGGCCTTGAACACTGCCAGGGAGGGGGCAGCCACAGCTTCTCTGGACAGCCTGTGCCAGGGCCTCACCACTCTCACAGTAAAGAATTTTTCTTCTATCTAATCTAAGTCTCCCTTCTTTCAGTTCAAAGCTATTACCCCTATGTTTGTTTGTTCCCTTTAACCCCACCTTGAAATCGCATTGCAAGAAAACAGAGCCATAATGCCGCAGGATAGTAACATACTGGGTAAAGCATGTATTAAACAGTTTGTTCTTCCCTGGAGATGAGTACCCAGCTGAAACATTATTATTTTTATCCTTTGGCTTTTGGAGTTAATGTTTTGTATAACAATTGCACTAATCAGCTGAGGCTTTTGCAGAATGAAGTGTATTTAATTACCAGCTCAGAAGCAGTGTTCGCAGATGTGCCGGCATATTGCAGACCTTCAGGCCAAGCGGTTTGTGCCTCGCAGAGCTGGCTAGCAAGCCCAAAGGCTGCCGTCCTGCCCTTCAGCGGGCTGTAGCCTGGCCAGCAGCGACACCGGGAGGGACACGACAGCCTAAAGAAAGGCTCTCTATGCCTCGCTGCACCAGTGCCCTTCCCAGCACGCAGAAGCGCTTCCCTGTCAGCTGGAGGAAAGCAAAGGGCTGCACAGAGTATCGATGCTAATAATTTAGTAGCAGAGAGAGCCTGTGAGCAAGTATGTGTCTCTGCACCAGGTACCCGCAGGCAACCATGTTCAAAATGCAAGGTGAGGCGAGGCGCTTTTCACAGCCAGAAGCACTTCAGTGGCAGCAGAAGTCTACAAACAACTGAATGCAATTAATCCATTAGTTTTCAAACACTAGGCATGTAGCAAACGACAGCATGTTTTGCCGATCAAGGAATACACATATCAGAATACTGCACACAAGGCATTAAAAAAGTCCTTGCCAAGCCATTGTTCTTACTCAAGAATTTAATTCAATGTAATTACATCATTTTACCCTTATATAAGCCTTAAAAATTTTTGTCCTCTTCCACAGAGGAAAATAAAAGTATAGGCTTGCACAATACATGCCCAACACATTGGTGCAGCATCAGCATGGCAAATGATTCAGAGGACATTCCAGTCAAAGAGGGATCCTGTAATTTACACTTTACTTTTTTACACAGCTCCTGTTGAGATTAATGCAGACTTGAACAGATTATTACAGGCTACTGAGTCTTCAGTGCAGCAGCTATACATATAATACCTCATACAGAAGCAGAGATAGCTGCCACAGATTAAGCGTTCTGGCAGCCTCATGGTTTTGAACCCATCCAGCAACAACACATAGAACTTAATGATGAAAATATCATGAGGAAACAACATGATGTAATATGAATGGGTTGGCCTGTTAGCATTGAAAGGTAACAGTAAGCACTTTCCCAGTTGTTTTAAATTGAGCACGGCAGGGCAACAATTTGCAAAAACCCAAGCCGAGACCTATATTGGCAAGCAGTATTATCCGGTTCCTGAAAACAGCTCTCGTACCAACAGTCTGCTGTTTTCTCTGCTATTAGAAGCTGTGACAGGATGCAATAGAATGGGAGAGTAGCAGCCTACAGCTCACAGCCTGCAGGTTTGATTTTTAACCATTCATCAAAAAAGCAATCGTTCTGTTTGTTTATAAGTAAAGATGGCATTAGTAGAAGCATTTTTCTTCATTTAAAAACAATATGACAAAAAGAAAAGAAGTTACTTGCCAGACTGTTCCCATCGAGGTCATTTCACAGTAAGCAATACTATGCTAACAAATGAATTATTGATCACGTGTCATTTAACACTTCTTATTCACTGGTGTTACACACTCAGTGGTAATTAAGTTTATGCAACAGTGGAAACCGCTGATAGAATTTATATTAAAACTACAAATTCCATTATGTTGCACATACCAGTAGCTCCAAGACACATTTTATGAATTCTCAAATTGCTTTCCTTGGTGCGATAACCCGATGACAGCTAATGCAGCTTGCAGTCTCCTGAGTGGACTTTCCAAATTAAAGCAGAAACGGAGAAACAGGGTGCTTACAGTATCTTTAAACCTCCTTAGTTTTACTACTTCATCATAATCATAGCGGTTTACAGGCACCTAAATCCCTGCCAAAACCTATTACAGCCTGCAGCTGTCTTTAAAAGGCTCTCTGCCCAGAGCGGCTTCACTGGCAGTCATTGGGCTGGTCAGTTCAGGCAGGGTTCTTCAACAACAGGTAACTGAATAAAGCGAAGGGTGGAAAGAAGCAAGTTGCAAAAATCGTCTAAGGAATTCAAAGCTGTCTGGGAAGCAGAAGAAGCGTTACGACTACCTCCTGAAATGCCATAGTAGTAGGCCAATGACAACACCAGTAACACGATTTTTGGAATATGAATTCATATACTCAGCAAAAGTCAGGATGAATTTGTAATCTCCTTACAGAGAGAGCCTGTTATTTGCCTCCATAAAGCAGATCTAATGCGTTTACTCATAATGCAGAGGTAGACACACAAGTATTTCAAGCTGAGTCCTCTGCAAGGCTACTCAAAAGTTTGTGTTGAAGAAGTATCAAAACGTCGAGGTAACCTTCAAAAAAAAAAAAAAAAGTCTAACGTGTTTGCTATACAGTCACCCTCTTGATTACTCCTACATTTTTTCCACTCATACTCATTTTCAGGTAATGATTTGAACACCAGTCAAACATCAGACTCCCCATCCCACTTTCATTCCATTCCATGGCCGGAGTTCATGCATCTCAAGCCAGATGGCAGAGTTAACCTTATTCCTCTAAAATAAGCCAGCAGACTTGTGATTTTTTATTCTGAAAAGAGTAAGGTCTTTATTTTCTAAAACAACAGATGTGACATAATGAGGCTATCCAAAAACCATTAATAAGCAGCAAAAAGAGGAAAGAGAGAAGTTCTTGAACTTACACTTCATTGTTGAGAATTTTGTAGTGACATTCAGTGCCACAGAACAGCAGTAAAAAATACAGATTCTGTAACTTGTGCTATTTTCAGAATAATTAAATTTGGAAATTGGATTGTTTCTTTGCGCTCTGTCTGCTAATGATTTATCTGTCTGCTCAGGAGATTTCAGTTCTTTCTGTATGCAAATACACAACACTCTTTAACAAAATCTGTTTCCCAGTTAAGTGGCCAAACACAAAGAGCTACAGGAGAGAGCTCACCTGGCTGTAAGAGACTCAGCAAGAAAAAACTTTGGCTGCCTTCTGTTTATTATATAGAGAGTGACACCCAAAATACCTTCTGTAATACAGATGTAAAATTCTAAACAGTATGTATTTTAAAACTAGATATTGAGGTGAAAGAAAACCAGCTAGCATTGTGGTATGTTGGACCTTTACCACAATTTGGGTGACATTACTATTATAACATCTTAGCATCAAAATAAATCAAAAGCCAAATCAGCATCCTAGAATCTGATCCCAAAATGAACAGCTCTGCCACACTGAGAGACTGTGGAAATCTAGTACATAGAGGCAGAGAGCAAAAGCAATCTCCTCAAAAAATGGTAGATCAAAAACCTCAGAAGTTACTCTGTGGAAAGCTAAAATCAGCCTCGTAGCACCGTGCCTTTACTTATCCTGGATTCTGAGCAAGGCTCCTAAATGAGCTGCTGACGGCTGTTGTCTTCAGCAGCCATGAGAAACCCCCACCCAAGGTGAAACACACATAAACAATTTGCCTTTCCCTGGCAAATTCCCTCTGGAAGAGAACATCTCCAGTTCTTCAGCTGGTTTGGTTGTAGGATGTCACAAAGGCCGTGACAACTTGAAGTAGCTGCAGCTCCTTCTAGTGCTAAGAGGATGTTCCAAGAGACTGCAGTAGCCCTTGGTCTTACCCCTCGCCTCCCAACACACAGGGTGAAAGTCCTCTTTCTGAAGGGGAGGCAGGAAAACCAAAGTGGTCCTTGCTCAGTGTGTGGAAACGGACAGTCCGCTGAATGTTCCTGCTTCAGAACAACAAACCAAAAAACCTAGACGCCCAAAGTATCTCACAAAATGTACCTTTATTTATGCATTAAAAAATAGCCCTGTATTGCCCACCCGCCCCCAGAACCAGGTATCTGGAGGAAGCACAGCACACAGTTTGAAGCACAGACCTACTAGCTGGAAATATCAGCAAATGGTGGAGGGAGACAGGGGATACAGACAATGCTGATACTGAAATATATTGGTAAGGCAACAGAAGATTATCCAGGCCACCCGAATCCAAGTTTGTTAGTTTCAGTCAGCCTCTCTTCTTCCCAAAGACCACCTAATTCTCCTTTGAGGACTGAAGTAGTAATTTCATACGTTGAAAGTGAAGCAACTTTAACAGTAGCCGATTTTTTGACAGAATTAGTATCCTTGCTACAGGTAAATTTCAGATAATCGATTTTCTTCACCATGAGGCTCAGAAGGAGCATGGTTCTGAAATGCAAGGAGAGTTCATGGCACAGCTGTTCATAAGGCTGTTACTGAAACTTGATTCCTTGAGCCAAAGGTAAATCCTTGCTGTAGTTGATTGTGCTGGAAGAGAAACAAGTATTTAGAGAGCAGGCTTGATCACCGAGACAGATTATGCAGTCCATTTCCTATGTACAAGGCTTCTGATTTCTGTCATGCATATACAAAAGGCCTCTGTAAGTAGTTTGCCTATTTAAAGTTATGAAGTAACTTTACTGGAGTTTTCAACAGAGTAACTATGTGCAAGGAAAGACCAAATTCCCCATTACTTCTTCCTTGATAAATCAAATCGAAAGTGAAGTATCATTCTCTGTTCAGTCTCTTACTAGGAGAATGTCCATACAGAACAATGAAGGTGGGATTTCTCGAGTTTGTAAGGCTTTGCATGGAAACCAAAGTTAGCACAGGTAGAGGCTAAGGATGGCAGCAGAGAGTGGGAATGGTCAACCACTACAGGCTATCAGGAGATTTATGGATAGATACCCAACACGTAGCTAAATCACCCACCACTGGCAACAGTGGCCTCCTCACTGTGGTTGCCACTGCGTGTATTTCCTGACAAGTTTCAGTAATTTGATTTTTAGCCAAGTTTAAAAATCAGGCAAGAGAAGAAAAAACAGATTTTTTTCTCCTTTTGAGGAATAGCGAATGAAGAAAGGTCTTTATCTAGACCCTTCAAATCATCTTCTACTAGAAGACAGATGTAAATTCTTGCATGAAGAAAAGGCAATTACATTCATACACAGTTACCTCACATTTAGTGAAGATAACCGCCTGTAGCCAAGGATCTATACGTTTTGAACTTTTGCAAATTGACCCGTAATTTACATTTATTTGGAACTTTAAAAGTCGATCTTACCAAGTAGACCGTCTCATATAAAGTTTCCATGAATCACTTCCAGATTCTCTTCCACCACCAGTGTGCTTTTCACCACCTGTAGGAAAAAGGTTGTAAGTGAAAACTCAACACTTTTTCTGAGCATGGAAATCTGGACTGACTCCAGGAGGTGAGACATTTTATAAAAACTGCTGGGGAAAACTACTCCTTTACCCTTGATCTATATCTGAAATAAATTACCAGAACAGCACCAGATACAACTCACACAGCTAGCTCTGTCCTCATGCTTGATTCTAAAAATATCTGCCTGGAGTTGAAAGTCTCATCAAGCTGGCACCGCAGGACCTTGTTTTAAAGATATTTTAACACAAGAAAAGAGTACAAGAATGTGTTGATTCTTCTACTGTTTCATGGTATGGTGACTATTTCTTCTTCCCTCCCCCCACCTCCTTCAGTACATATGAAAACGAAAAATAAAGGCAAAAATGTATTTAAAGATTTTCCCACAAAAATAAGCTGTAATTTTTATATACACATGCAAACATACACAATAAAAATGCTCAAGACTGTTTTAATTAAAACTGTTTTAAACAGTTTTCCACTCAGCCACATCTCTAGACATATTCAGAACACACTTCTGAGTTACCGTCCCTTGATGGGGAGCGATGGGGGGGAAGGGGAGGAATAATAATTGGAGTATTTAAAAAACAAATACAGATTTTTAAAAAGCTAAAATCCAACTATCCTTACTCAATTTCTGTTCTCTGCTAAAGCAGCATAACTTCAAATTTCTTCATATTTAGTCATTTAAATGGACTGATTTTCAAGGTTTTAACCTTGAAAAATAAGACGAGGAGACCTAAATTACAGTAGTTTTACAGTGGTAACGCTTTATTTTCTTCCAGATTTGTTAGGGGAAAAAAAAAATCCTCCCAGCTTTGAAAAAAATGAAGTCTGGGGAATAATACAAGTCTCTAGACCTCATGCTAGAGGATTTCATCATTTAAAGGATAAAGAAAACAGCGTAAGTAACGTACCAAAAGCACCTCCAATCTCAGCCCCGCTAGTTGGGATGTTGACATTCACAATGCCACAGTCAGATCCCTTTGGCCTACAAAGATAAGGCACAATTACTCCTCAGATCCAGAAAGGCTCCTTCCCTAAAATGAGGGCTACAAAATGCTCAACTAGCACTGTGCATAAGTTCACAGAAGACACAAAAGACTGTGATCTTATGCTTCAGGAAGGTAGAAAAATAATTTAAATTATACCCAAGCCAGCGGAAAATCCTCCCCAAATCCTTGGTAAAGATACTGCTGGAAAGACCTTGCTTTACTTCATTATTCCAGGCAAAAACCTCCTCTTCCTCCTAAAAGGAGCACATGTCAACGGTTAAGCCACAACCATTCAAAGCAAAGCAGTTACAAAGAAGCACTGTGAGAACAAAAACAACATATCACAGCCATAATGCAAATACACTGAATGCCACGTGGCAAATACATGTGCACCAAGCCAGGGATACGATACTCTGCCACTGCACAAAACACACAACCTGCTTTTGAGCAGGTTGACACAAACAATAAAAATCTGCTCTTGTACAGACTCTAATCTTAACTCCAGTGCTCTTTCCAGAAAACACAAAAATGTAGCTACACAGTGACGTAAGCTATTACAGAGGACATCCCACAGTGCTGAACAACAGTTACCACTTCTTGAAGCGCCGGGACAATTACATCAACATGACATACATCTGAAATCTCTCTCCTGACTCTCCTGTTTGCATCCTTGACACTTGACTAATTGCCCATTGTTATTTTACCTTAAATTTCAGCACATACAGTATGGGGGCAAATGTCTCAGTGTGGACAATGGGTGCGTTGTGAGGAAGGCCAGTCACAATGGTGGGTTCAACGTAGTTTCCAGGGCGATTTATAACCTTCAAAACACATAAAAGAAGAAACAACTGAGTAAGTTCAAACCAGCATCCTGCTTAGTACTAGTGTAGGAAGGGAATCCTTCATGGTCTGATTACTATAGCTGTGCCTAGCAATCAGAAATAGAAAGTCAGATCATCTGGGTAGGTAACTTAAATTTTACTCATTTAAAGTATTTAAAATACAGAAGCATAGCTTAGTCTACTAAGGAGGTAATCAATTCTCAAAGTCTACCAGCTGACAAAAACCACTTCCTTTCTCCTGCTTATAAGCTGATAAGCAGTTTAAAGGTATTAGGAATAAAGAAGGTGCCAGTGAAAGACGAGAATTCCCAGAACGTTAAATCCATCAGAATTCAACATCCCATATGATGATGACATCCAAGGGGCTCTCTTGAATCTTCAGTATTTCCTGAAGTTTGATACTGTGAATCCAGGGACAGAACAGCAGTTTCCCTTTGTTTTGTGTCTGATGTTCACCATTTACATTGCTGTTGGTATTTTCACCATCAACTGCAACTAGGGAGTAGTGCAAGGAGCAGCCAACAGCTCTTAGCCATTTCCTGGAGGTAAAGGTAAAGGTAGCTTCCAAGCAGACCTGTCTTTACCCTAGAGACAGGATTGCAATTCAAACATTCTCAGACTGACTAACTTAACATCCTGGAATGGCTGACAGGACAGAGTTACAGTCCTGGCCTAAGCCAGCACACTACTCGATTTTTTTCCTAGAGTACTAAATATAGCAGGGAGAATAAAGATGTCACCTTTCCACCATAGACCACAGAGCCACCCTGTTGTTTTGCTTGTTCTACTGCATCAAGGAACATTTTCACTGCTTCTTTGGTATGAAGAGGTCCATACAGAGTGTCAGCTAAAACCAAAAGATTAAAAGACATACTTTCAGCAAAACTGTACACATTTGCAAACATTCTTATCATGACATTTTGGGAGTAATTATTTAATTTGTCCAAGATGAGGAATTTTAGCTGGATTCTTCATCTCCCTTTCAGAGTTTGTACTCTAAAAGAAACCAGCTATCCCCACTCCCTAGCAAACTGCTAAAATTAGATAGCTTTGATCTATAATCTCTTTGGAATTTGTGGATAGTTAGGGCCTGGCGGTCGGAAGATGTCGTGCTGTACGGAAAGGTAGGCCCCCCCCTCCTCTCCTGATAACCAGTAGCGTTTAGTCCATAGGTGTAAGCAGACGGAAGTGACGCTGTAAACCTAAGCTATATAATACTGTGCTACCCGTCAATAAACGCCATTTGCCGTCCACCACATTGGTGTCTGCGAGCTGATGGCCTGAGCGGCCTGGGGTTGGTCGCCGTGCCGTTCCTGAACCAGGTCGCCACGCCAACAAAGGCAACAGGAATTTAAACAGAAAGAAAGAAACTTGTGTCCTAAACGCACATGTTGGAAGTAGCTACTCACAGTCCCAAGGATCACCGACGCGGACCTGGACATAGGCCTTCGCAAGCTTTGCCACCACCTCATCATGGACACTTTCATGGAGGAACTAAACAAAATTGGGTAAGAAGGTTGTAAGACAGCTCAGTCTATGTAACTACTCCTGAAGTACTACTGCACTTTCAAGAGGGACGAATGAAGTGTGGAGATTGTGTTGCTCATACTCCACAAATCCCAAAGTTAAAAATAAACACACGAGCAAGGCCTCGAAACAGTACCAATGCCATGAGACGAAAATTTGAAATCTTCACCATGAAGATTTAAAATAAGCGAAGAAACAATAATGCATTTTAATTTTACCCCATCTCAGATCAATGGTATCACTGTGTTCTGTAAACTCTTCAGCTAAGTGTTTTTGGACAAATATTCAAGTGATTTTTATTGCTATAATTTGAGGAATCACTGCCCTTCCAATACATCCAAAGTTAACCCGCATCAATTTTGACAAATATTTACCCGATCAACCAAACTCTGAAAAGGCTATACAGACACAGGCTGACATGATAAAACCTTTAAACTTGCTGAAAATGATTGGTTAAAACTGAATAATAAAGCAAGCAACACACACCGCCTTGCTTTGCTGAAATCTAAACCCTGCACCAAAATTTGTAGCAGACACAAGCAAAGCAGCTCTGGCAGTGAAAACGGAGAGAAACACAGGATGTACGGTAAGTTTTATTTTCCGGAGTTTTAGCACCAGGTACATTTAGATATACACACAAAGAAACTCCTTAGAGCTAGAATTATAGAGGAATGACAAACTAATTTTTGACAGAGCAAAAATGTGTTTCAAAGATTATTTGTTGCTCTCCATAATATTTGGAATTGTTAGGCACTTCCTGAGCTAATTTGGAATTAAGTTTAAATTCAGAGCTACCCAAACCAGACAATACACATTTACTCACCAGCCGTCTAGCAGTTGTGCACCTCTGACCTGCGGTTCCCACAGCAGCAAACAGAGCAGATGGGATGACCAGGTTCAGATCTGCATCTTCAAACACTTAATAAAAATTAAAATATCAGCATGTTACTGAAGTAAACAGGCAGTTTGCAAGACATAACACACTAAATAATACAATAAACGGACAGGTTGGCCAAGAAGCACTAGGAATAGTCACACTAGCATAGCATGCTAAGATATGCACAAATACCTCGAAACTCCTATTACTTTTACACCTGGAACTAGACATATGCAATTGGACATCAATGTAGGTCTTAAGTACTGAGGGGAGCCTTTTGCAATAAAGCTTGCAAAGAACTTCAGCTTCATTTTAATTCAGGAAACCACAAGCGATTTCTTGCTGTTTTTTCATCTTGTCCTTTTCTCACTGAGAAGTCTAGGAGCATAAACAATGGCAAAGTGTACCCATATGGCATGTAAAAAAAATAGCAAAAACACACATGTAAAATATAAATGAGCTGAACAAATTCATCTGACCGGAAGACATTTGGATGTTTAAAGAAAGCTAGTATATATAAGAATCAAAGAAATCCCCAAAATATCACTCAGTTTAGCCAGTCCCACAGAATTCTCTAAGAATCCAGTCAAATTTGTGACAAAGTCCAATGTTTGTGCTATCATTCAAAGCAAATTCCAGAAAGAGCAGGACTTTCACATGAAAAAGGAAATAATTTCCTACGTATAAAGCAAGCTTATGCTACTGGCTGCGAAGCAGCACAGGAAAAGAGAAAGACCTGCTCAAATGTGATTTTCAGAAGTGCTTAGTATTCCAGATAAGCAATTACAATTGTTCAGAATACAAGAAAAGTGAAACGGAAGGCTACAACAAAATGGGACAGCAATTTAAGTATGTATCTAGCTTATATTTTCTTTCTGCCACATTGGTCACCTTCACTGTATTTATGTTATGTTTATCTGGGAACCAGATCATACCTTAAGCTACCTAAACCTGTAAAATGTGCTACTGTAATAAACACTTACATGCTTTGCTTTCAAGTCTTAGACATTACACATACGTACTTACATTCTAAAATGTTAAAAACGTGGTGTTCACGACATTAGAGCTAACCTAAAACCAAATTTATTTAGCATTGTCCACATTTCATTACTGAAGGCTACTGCTTCTCTCATTCCCTTCTTCACTTCAATCACGAATACATATAAGAGCTTGAACTTTCATTTTTTATCTTAAAACACTGTCCCTCCAGAATATAAAAGACAGAAAACATCCAACATTCTACTATATGCTTTTTAAAAACCCAGTGTCGAGCAGAAAAAAAAAAAAGACAATATGCTACAAATATTAGTATACTAGCTTCCAAATATCACCTATGGGACTGAATTTCTACAGTGCATATTACCAATAATGGCATTATTTCCTCCCAGTTCCAGAAGACTTCGACCTAATAAAAACAGACAAAAAAAAGTTATGCCATGCGCACACGTCTGCACTGCACCTCATTCAGTGAGGTCACCTCTAACTAGAGCTAAGTTTCATTACACACATTTTTCTGGATAGACAAAAAGTTTTAGGCATCACATTCAACTAATCACTCCAGCCAGCAGGAAATTACAACATTACATCTAACACATGTCATAAAGAAAGATACCTGGAGAGTAGTTATGGCAGAAAGAAGCTTTAAAAAAAATAGGCAAAAATAGCACTGGAAAGGAAATACGAAAACAGAAAAAGTTGCAGCATAAATAGTATGACGTAGACAAAGAGGAGGAGGAGGTGCCACAGAGATCAAAATGCACACATAAGCACCTCAAAAATGGTAACCTCTCTCCTGTGTTTATAAGGAGTAAGGGCGAGAGGGCATTTCTCCACGAACGCATTGCCTAAAGACCATAGGCCCTGGCTTTTCATCTTGACAATCTCCATACAATCATACTCATGGACTGCACCCCCACCCCACCCTGAATTAACTGTAGGACTGTGGATTTGTGGATACCCTAGAAAAAATGCTGAATTATGACAGGACTAAATGAAAAATGCAGACCAAGCAGTTTCAAAACCCTATTTCCACCAAGTTTAAAAAAAAAAACAACAAAAAAAGACAAGAGGTAAGTGAAACAAGCCGTTATTTCAAAACCTCCTGTAGCTCCTCTGCCTTTCGCAACCATGGAAAGAAATGAACTGGAGGAGACCCCACACACTCACCAAATCTCTCCTGAACCGTAAGTGCTACCTGCTTGCCCACTTTTGTGCTGCCAGTGAAGGACAACAGATCCATTCTCTCATCTTTCGCCATTGCCATCCTGCACAACAGGAGACATACCGCCACGTTCACTGGAGGAGCAGACAGCTGGAAAAACTGCTTGCATCTTCCACATACATCAACTTCAACCAGGGAGAGCTTTTAAAAGTCAGAGACACTTCTTTAAAAACATCAGGTAAGTGACTGAGCAGATGGCAGGAAAGCTGATTCTTAGTCAGAAAAGAGGAACAAAGCTGTCTCCCTCCCACTCTTCAGACCATAAGAGTAACACCTGTACTAACTTTGAAATTCAAGCTAAAGTACGTAGTGAGATTAGCTCTAATTGATATGTTCCCTAAGAAAATATGCATACCTATGACTTCTTTTAATGTTTAGCATCTGTTTTGTCTTCTCTTGTAATGCTCAAAAGATACATCTCAATATACATTTGTATTGGGAACTTCCACATTGTAATAATCGAACATAACAATTTGATTTCTACAGCTTCCAAGCACAGATATGCACCTATGAGCAAGGGCAAAGTCCTATGTGAGCATGGAAAATGGAAAAGTATTCTCCACAAGTAGTCCAAAAGGTCAATGGGCTAGAAATTTAAAACACTTCAGAATATGAGTGGAATTTAATATTAGCTGTATTATTTGGGCATAAGCATATACAGAAATAGAATATAAAAGTTAGTCATGTCTCTTCATTAAATATCTGATAAGCTATTTGTTAGCAACTGATCTCACAACAGCAAGTAGAAATACATACTACGTTTACAGCCAGGCCAGAGTTTCAGAACAGGCCAGAGTTTCAGACCAGTTGATAAAAATGATAGCAACAGGCACGTATATGTACTGGGAACTCCTGGAGATCTGAATAACTTTATGAGAAGTACCTCAAAGAACATTCTTTATCCTCTATACATCTTCACAAAACACAAGAAATGTTACCTACCCAATGTCTGCTCCACCACAAACCAGAGAACAGATTGCTCCAGGCACTTTGTTATCCTCCAAGACTTTGGCAATTATCCTAGAATCAAAGATATAAAAGTTTCAGAGGTTTCTGACAGGTGCATATAAAAGGGAATGAACCATTAAAACTGTCTGAACATTCACATGAAGAAGCTACAGATTTTTCAAATGCAGCAATCTTGCAGTTAATTGAGCTGCAGTTTGTGCAACACATAACATACTTCTTTTGTCAAAGACTTTGGTGTTAAAATCATAGGTCACACAGAAGTAAGAATATGCTAATTATGCGTCCACACAGCTGGCGCAGACAAGAATTAGATCGATGTGTACAAACCTTAGCCACATAGTCTCTCACCACTAGAGAGAGACATTTCTACACCTTCATGGACCTACATAAAACACTCATAAGTAGTTTGGGGCCATTGTTCTCAGGAGTTAATATTACAGCTACAAGACTTACTAATTATTTATTTAAAGGGGCCTATTTATGTTTAGCATTTAAAAATAACGTTTATTCGTAGCACACAATATGTATGTATTTAAAATGCTAATATAATAAGCAAAGTAACAATAAATCTATAGTAAGTATCACTATGACATTTATTCTTTGGAGTTCTCCTTTCTATCAGGAATGAATTTCGGACCCTGGAAATGCACGCTAAGGTTTTACTAGGTTTGAATAACGAAGATAGTTTGAAAGCATCATCTTCAGGATATAGGGCTACACACCCAGCCAGAAGAATTTGCCAAGAAACTGGGTGCTGATGTTGGGCTGAGACTCCCAAAAAAGAGGACGATTTTGAAATATGAGTGTCTGATTGAAGCAAGCTGAATTTTGTGAGCAATTCTTTGCCATTCTTTCTACTACAAGGAAGCAAACCACACAGATAGCCCTACTTCAGCAGAAGCACAGCCCTCTTCCCAGAAAAAAACCTGGCCAACAGTTTAGGTAACATCCCATATATACTGTTACTTCTTAGGTAACAAGGGGAAAGCAGTTCTTCTGACCACTGAGCACTACCTCAAACAGAAAAGAAGTTATTTAAAAAGCAAAACAGAAAGCAAAGAAACAAGAACTCACTTTGTAACAGCAACACTAATGAGGGATGTTGTAGGAGCACCTTTCCTAAAAAGAAAAAAAAGAGTAAAAAAAAAAATCCAAACGAACATTTTCTTTTCAATTCTCGAGAGAAAGAAATAATTCAAATATGCAATTTTTATGGTATCTCAATACAGCACGCTTTGGTTAGGCTGGTTTTTGGCTGCATGTTAAGACAAGAACTCAAGTGTTTCTTTCCACAGCTGAGCATTCGGAGCTTCTACTGAAATCCACATGAACAAGACCTATGCCAGACAAAAGCGAAGCAGGAGCAGGGAAAAGTAAAGCTACTTATTTGGCTTCTCAATTGTAGCTGTACCAATTCTGAAAATACCAACTGTTCACTATCACTGCTGCAAGACCTCAGCCTCAACAGGTTGGCTAAGTCCTGGACAGGTCTTAATCTCAGTACCTCATAAAAGTGGTTACCACAAAATGAAACAAAGCTCTTTGACTTCAAGAGAACCTAAAAATAAACAGAAATTTAGCCTACATGACATAGAATCAAATATACAGAAACACCAGGCATTTGATAAAAAGTTCATGCCTGAGATAATAGCTCTCTGATTTTAAAATACTGTCAGCACATTGGAAAGCTATGTCTTACCAGAGGCAAGCGTTTCCACAGATCATCGCAATTGCGCTGTTCCACCCATAAACCGCTACAGGGAAGTTAAAGGCCGTGATGATTCCTACTAACCCAACAGGATTCCACTGCTCTATAAGGGCATGGCCGGGTCCTGAAGGCAAAGACAGAACACAGCGCAATTTGCATCCATTTAATATTTTTTCTAAGAGGAAACCATGTGAGCAAGGGGCCTAACATCACCGCTCCACCCATCAGAGCATTAGCCTGTCGAGAGCTGTGTTATACATGCTCTGCAGCTTGCTGGAACAAAGTTATCCAGATTGTGGAAAAACCTAGTAACATGACAACACAAAGTTTTAGTATCTTAACTATTCAGTTAATGGAATAGTGATTATTTGCTAGTCAATAACTGACAAAAACATCTCTCATTTCTAAGTACACCACTGAACTTTCTATATACTTTCCTTAGAACCTTCACTAACAAAGAAATCAAAGAGAATCAATCAAAGAGTGGAGAGAAAATCTGTTGCCTCTCACAGTGCAGACATTTCATCAGCTGGCGCTACTGTCTTCCAGCACATCTATTCCTAGACAACATGCTCCCTAAACAACTCACAGTACAGAGATTTTGCTGCACTTACATCATTGTATATTTAAGATATATCTCCATATTTTTGCCTTTGCAAAAAAAAAAAAACAAAAAACAAAAAAACACCAAACCTAACAACATACATACACACATACTTACTTTCTGAAGGCAAAATAGGTCCACCAATCATTCGGGACAAACCAACAGCATAGTCGCAGACATCAACATACTCCTGCACTTCCCCAACACCCTCCACAAAAATCTTTCCCATTTCCAGAGAGACCTGAAAAAATTAAAAGGAACACAAAATTCTTTTTCAAAAAATTCCCTTGCATCCCAAATACATGTTGTCTCCCACTAATGTCAGGTATATCTGTACACCAAGCAAGATTTAACACACATTTTTTCATTGGAAAATATTCACCTGTTCCCGAGTTATTCACAGCTTAAGGAAAGAACACACAACAGACAACTAGACAGGAGTCACATTCCCATACAATAAGAGGAAATTACTGAACAGAGGAAATTAAAAATAATCTGCTGAAAGAAGTATCAAACAGTCATGAGGTGCATAGTTTTAGATGAACAGGACACTGGATTTCCATCCGGATGTTTGCATACATTGTGGACCAAGCATGGAATAAATTGGAAAAGAGGGATTACTCTGCTCCAGCAAAAGAAAATGGCCTTTACAATTTTCATAAGAAAACTATTCATTTTATAACCCCTTGAAGTGAGTTTGAGAGATCCCATTTTCAGATACTGCTGAAAATGTCTACACATCTTTAGTATTTTAGTAATCGCAGATGTTTAGGATCGATTTTTTTATTTTTTATTTTTTAGCTAAAGTCAAGCCTAACAATGTCCTTCTGTCAAAAGCATGTTAGATGTACACAGCAGACACATGGATTATTAATGAGAATAAGCTGGTATTTGAAGTCATTTTCCTCCAAAAATTCACCTAACTTCGGAACTGAGAAGTCACTCATTCACCCCACTTGGTTTCACAGTCATGCTCTGATATCCAGGTGTGACTTTCATGCAGATATCACCTACCACTTTAAACAGATGACTGTACTTTGAAAAAGCTGTTAAGTGAGGAATCAGGTTCGAAGGATTGCCACATGATTTTACTCCCCATGCAAAGGTTAAAATAAAGGTGATCAAATGTATTTCTAGGTATTTCTGTGATGCCCATGGTCATCTTGAGGCAGAAGGAATAGCCCCTGTCTGTGACTAGAAATGGAGGAGCAACAGACATATTTACTAAGAAACACAGCAGTGAGTCCATAAGTGCAGTACTTGACAAGGACATTGTGAGGCTGGAAATTTCCAACGGCACAGGAAAAGGTGAGTTGCCGTACCCTTTTACGTATCCTACAGCCAGGAAAAGTCCTAAACCCTGGATACCTACTGCACAGCTTTCACCCTGAAGTCCACCCCCTATCCTGGAAGAGCTGAACAGACTTATTAACTGTTAAGCAAAACTAGAAAAATGCTTTGGCAATAAGCAACAAGTTTTGTCCAAGCAACATACAGCAAACTTCTGTCTGTCCACACTCACCAGGGAAGCTGTACCGTTTTGAATACGAAACTATCCTAGCACTCTAATTCCACCACAGAAACCCTGCTGAGGAGACAACATCAAGGGAAACAGCAGAACAAAGTTTTTTAGGTTAACAATATGGGCTTCACTACACGCAGAGTTATTCATTGACAGCTGTGTCTGAACAGCAGCACACACAGGCAAGCCCTGCAAAAGGAAAGTGGCAAGTTCCCCACTTGCCTTCTTTTCTTCCCTAGCAACCAGAAACTGTTTTAAAGAAGCAGTCCTTCACCCTTTATGTCCTGCACAGCACTGAAGAAGTTCTCATTAAGACTCTCTCACCTTCTGAAGCCTTATACCTCCACACGTCAGTTGCAAAATCCTGCAGATCACCAGAGAGAGCTCAAGGTTAAAAGCTCTGTATTAGAGGAAGGTCTTTTTCGGGACACTTTTAGTGTCAGTCAGTGTCCTATCTGACAGGCAAGCGGGAGAATAGCAGGGCAACAGTTGCAACACTCCTTCCAGCCAGAGTGCAGGCTCAGAATGAATTACACTTTCTTTGCCTAGTATATATCATCTAATTTTCAGTGTAGGATGCTAAAATGCAATCTTACTTTTTTTTTTTTCCCTTTTTTAAAATTAAAATTTCTTTAGGCAAGCTAACAGAACTAACAGCATTTAGCAATTATTCAGGTTAATACGGCAGAGTGATACGTTGAGACCAAGCTTCCTAGAAGTTTGATTTTTTGTCTCAGGGCATCACCAATCTGTCGAACTATTTCTCCACGCTTAGGTGCAGGGATCTAATCAAAACAAAAGAAAACACATTGAACATCTGTGACTTCTGCCGCATATATACTGCTAGTTTTCTACCCCTGCAGCAACAAATCACTGATTGCTGTGCTTTTGCCCCAGTCTTCTCAAGACATTGTTACTCGTTCGTTTTTACCACGCGCACTGCTGTACATGAAACTGTTTCCTGTCTCACAGAGACTGATAACACTGCACACATTCATGTCTGTTCAAAACCTCAGTTTCACTGAATATTGCGAGAAGCACTCAGATTATTAGTTCTGCTTCTTCCATTCAGCTACACCACCCACAATGCCCTCAAAAAATCAGCTGCACCTCAAGAAACCAGCATTTTTTATAAATGCACGCTTACTGCTTTCTGTGCTTTTGAATTGTACTTAACATCACATTTTCAACCTTTTTTTTTTTCAGCATGACAATGGCTGTTTACATTTATTTTGTTAGCAGATGCTGAGACACACAGAAGCCTCAATCATGGAAAAATTAAACCCATATGCCGCATATTAATAGACTTTTTTTAAAATGTGGTATCAGTATGTTCGATAATAATCAATAGCTGGGATCAATAATCAACCGTATGCACGCAAGAGGATTTACAGGATTAGACACTGCTGATAAACAGCAGTTCTCTGGAAAGAGAGGAGTGAGGAATACATAAACCATGCAAGCATATCTCTTCACAGGCAAAATCTTTCAGATAAGCTCATTACAAACAACAAAATCCACAAACTAAAAATAAACAGCTTTGAGACAAGGCTTTAAAGCATTTGATCTGTCATTCTTTGATACCTGTTAGATTGTTTTCAAACACAGTAGGAGCTGGCATGCACTCACCAACATTACATTCACAAATTCTAACAGAAGTACACATACTAACATATCCCGAGGAAGCTGTCGTGTTTTTCCTAAACTTTGCTCTCTTCAGGCATGGCAAACTACTTTGCTGGGTAAAACGCAGAATGCCCAATACCTTATGAAATTCAGGTTTCAGCTTGTACCAAATAAATGGGAGGCAGCTATTAAAAACAAGCCTGGCATCGCCAGCAAGAGAATGGATGCTGGCGGGACATAGCTTGTACAGGTGCACTGACAACTGCAGTTCGCTAAGGAAAAATAGCTTAGCTATCGTCTGACACAGCAATGGAACACTAAAGTTTTGGAATAACGTAGCTGTTTTGTGAAATACTGGGACCACTGGTGAACAAAAAGAGCACGCTCAAAACCAACGGTCTTCCTCACCCCGTAAGAACAAGATTATTACCACCAGTTAGATACCCAAATATTCTGCAGAATTCTCGCAGGAGAAAGCATGTGGCAACACGAAGCTAAACACACCCACAGGGATGATTTGCTTGTTACAAGGTTTCTGAACTTCAGCAGACCTGTTGGCAATGTCTTACAGACACAAACGCCAGTAAATTTGCCAGGCTTTTCAAAACAAACCTTCACCACACTTCAACATCCTCATCTTTGTACCTCACTGGTAACATGCACAAGTTGTCTGGGTTTGTTTCTTGAGGTCCGCACTGCAGATTTTTGCTTTATGCAACATACACAATATGAATATGTTTTTACACCTCCACCTGAAAGCACCATTTAGTGGTCTTTACTTGCCAAATATGCGTTATGGAAGAGAAGTCTCTGTTAACTTACATCAGCCCAGACCTTCCACGCCTCTTTAGCCTTCTTTACTGTTTCTTCATAATCCTCCAAACTCGCCTACATGAAGAAGCACGTCAAAGAAAAAGTCAGGAAAACCAAAACCCCAAAACAAACGCCACAGAAAAGCTTCTGCATCCAGCTGAGGGTATTTCTAGTGGATAGTACTGCACTACGGAATGCCACTTTCGCAGTACGTTTATACCCTGCCATAGTCTGGTCCCAACATGGCACGTTGAGCTGCTTGAAGTTACTGTCGAGGAAAAGTCTATGTGCTGCCTAAACAAAAGAAACGGGAGTAGAAATTTTCCTTCACATGACAAAGGATCATAGAACCATAGAATGGTTTGGGTTGGAAGGGACCTTAAAGATCATCTGGTTCTACCCCCCTGCTATGGGCAGGAACAACATCCACCAGACCAGGTTGCCCAGAGCTCCATTCAACCTGGCCCTGAACACTGCCAGGGAGGGGGCAGCCACAGCTTCCCTGGGCAACCTGTGCAGGTCAGCGCCGCAGCTCTACTCACACTAAAACCCTCCACAAATTCACCAGGTGAACGCCTTGCTGCTCCCCTCCAGCCCTCCACCGGCCGCAGGCTCCCCTGAGCA